AAGAAGGTCCTCCCTTGTGAATGTGGCAGGGCTCAGGGTGCATTGCAGCAGGTGGTCAGTGGTTTGCTCTTCTCCGCACTCGCATGTCGTGGATTCCACTTTGTGGCCCCATTTCTGAAGGTTGGCTCTGCATCTCGTGGTGCCAGAGCGCAGTCTGTTCAGCGCCTTCCAAGTCGCCCCGTCTTCTGTGTGCCCAGGGGGGAGTCTCTCATTTGGTATCAGCCATTGGTTGAGGTTCTGGGTTTGAGCCTGCCACTTTTGGACTCTCGCTTGCTGAGGTGTTCCAGCTAGTGTCTCTGTAGATCTAAGAAAACTATGTCTTGATTTCAGTCATTGACGTGCTGGCTGATACCCAAACAGGGGATGAGCTGGAGATGTCTCTGCCTTGGTCCTTTCACTATTGGCTGCTACTTCCCGGCGGATGTCAGGTGGTGCAATACCGGCTAAGCAGTGTAATTTCTCCAGTGGTGTAGGGCGCAGACACCCCGTGATAATGCGGCATGTCTCATTAAGAGCCACATCCACTGTTTTAGTGTGGTGAGATGTGTTCCACACTGGGCATGCGTACTCAGCAGCAGAGTAGCATAGCGCAAGTGCAGATGTCTTCACTGTGTCTGGTTGTGATCCCCAGGTTGTGCCAGTCAGCTTTCGTATGATATTGTTTCTAGCACCCACTTTTTGCTTGATATTCAGGCAGTGCTTCTTGTAGGTCAGAGGCACGGTCCAGAGTGACTCCCAGGTATTTGGGTGCGCTGCAATGCTCCAGTGGGATTCCTTCCCAGGTAATCCTCAGAGCTTGGGATGCTTGTCTGTTCTTAAGGTGAAAGGCACATGTCTGTGTTTTAGATGGATTAGGGATCAGCTGGTTTTCCCTGTAATAGGCAGTAAGAGCACCTAGAGCTTCGGAGAGCTTCTGTTCAACCATCTCAAAGCTCCCTGCTTGAGTGGTGATGGCACGATCATCAGCATAGATGAAGCTCTCTGTCCCTTCTGGCAGTGGCTGGTCATTTGTGTAGATGTTGAACATGGATGGAGCAAGCACGCTCCCCTGAGGCAGGCCGTTCTTCTGTTTCCGCCATCTGCTTCTCTGGCCCTGGAACTCAACAAAAAAGCTCCTGTTTTGTAGCAGGTTTCCTATGAGGCGGGTGAGGTGGTAGTCCTTTGTGATATTATACATTTTTCTCAGGAGGAGGCGATGGTTCACAGTATCATAAGCTGCTGACAGGTCTATGAAGACAGCTCCTGTGATCTGAATAATAATAATCATAATAATAATAATAATAATAATAATAATAATAATGCCTCCACTTTCTTTCCTTGGGTTTGGATGGGAATATATTAATCATAGAATCATAGAATCAAAGAGTTGGAAGAGACCTCATGGGCCATCCAGTCCAACCCCCTGCCAAGAAGCAGGAATATTGCATTCAAATCACCCCTGACAAATGGCTATCCAGCCTCTGTTTAAAAGCTTCCAAAGAAGGAGCCTCCACCACACTCCAGGGCAGAGAGTTCCACTGCTGAACAGCTCTCTTTACAGTCAGGAAGTTCTTCCTCATGTTGAGATGGAATCTCCTCTCTTGTAGTTTGAAGCCATTGTTCCCTTGCGTCCTAGTCTCCAGGGAAGCAGAAAGGAAGCTTGCTCCCTCCTCCCTGTGGCTTCCTCTCGTGTATTTATACATGGCTATTATCATATCTCCTCTCAGCCTTCTCTTCTTCAGGCCCAGCTCCTTAAGCCGCTCCTCATAGGGCTTGTTCTCCAGACCCTTGATCATTTTAGTCGCCCTCCTCTGGACATATTCCAGCTTGTCAATATCTCTCGTCAGTTGTGGTGCCCAGAATTGGACACAATATTCCAGGTGTGGTCTAACCAAAGCGGAATAGAGCATGGGGAGCATGACTTCCCTAGATCTAGACACTATGCTCCTCTTGATGCAGGCCAAAATCCCATTGGCTTTTTTTGCCGTCACATCACATTCCTGGCTCATGTTTAACTTGTTGTCCACGAGGACTCCAACATCTTTTTCACACGTACTGCTCTCGAGCCAGGCATTGTCCCCCATTCTGTATCTTTGCATTTCATTTTTCCTGCCAAAGTGGAGTATCTTGCATTTGTCACTGTTGAACTTCATTTGTCACTGTTGAACTTGGGGAGAAGACCCCAAGAGGCAGTGCCTTTGCTGATTGATTTCCCCTCTGTGGATTCCTTATTGCAAGCAGAATTGGTTGGGAAGTGTGTTTGCGTCTCTTGCCCGCCTTTGCAAAAACCGTGTGTGCACATCGAGGTCTGTTTTGCTCCGTCTTGTGAGCGCTCTTTGTTTCTTCATTATGAGCCCATCTTGATCTAAATTGTCTCCCGGAAACGCCTGGAAAGGACGACTCCTCCAAACAGATTACTTCAAGGGAATTGGGGAATTAATGGGAGGGAAATATTCAACTTGGAGGTCCTTGTAGCTCCTCCAACCTCTGCTCTCCAAAGTCTGGAGAGAGCTTTTGGTTAAGCGTACAACCCTTTTCTCCATGTTGGATTTTTCTCCTTGTGCCCCCATTTCATGCTTCTATTCCATTGTCTTTTTTTGGATGTTCGATGGGGAAGTGCAGAAGTTTTGATGACAGGAGAGCTGTAGCTTTGATTCAAGCAGGCTGTTAAAGATGAAGGATTTTAAGATGAAGTCAGGAGGTGATGTGGTTTTTAAATCCAAATAGGTTTTAATGGTTTTTCACTGGGAATTTTAAAGATTGTTCATGTTTGCATATTTGTCTATTTTCAATTGTATGCTGATGCTGATTTATATAGGAGAGATAAAGTGAGGTATTAATAATCTATATAAATAAAAATGTAATGTTCACTTGTGGGATTAACAGAACTCAAAAAACCACTGGACAAATTGACACCAAATTTGGACACAAGACACCTAACAACCCAATGTATGTCCTTCACTCATAAAAACACTGAAAAACACAGCAGAAGGGACTTAAAAAGCCCCCAAAGACGAAAAGCTAAATGACAATACAGAAAAAGGGAGAAAGAGAGAGGGAAGGGGAGAAAAAAAGAAAGAAAGAAAGAAAGAAAGAAAGAAAGAAAGAAAAGAAAAGAAAAGAAGAAAGAAAGAAGAAAGAAAAAAAGAAGGAAGGAAGGAAGGAAGGAAGGAAAGAAGAAAGAAAAAGAAAGAAGAAAGAAAGAAAGAAAGAAGGAAGGAAGAAAAGAAGCAGGAAATGAAAAAGGAAAGAAGAAGGAAAAGGAAGGAAGAGAGAAGGAAGAAGGAGAAAGAGGGAGGGAAAGAAATAAGGGGAAGGAAGGAAGAGAAGGAAAGAAGGAAAAGAAGGAAGGAAAGAGGGAGCGAAGGAAGGGGGGAAGATGTAGAAAAAGAGGGGGAGAAGGAAAGAGAGAAGGAAGAAAAGAGAGCAGAAGAGAAAGAAAAGGGGAGGAAGGAAAGAGATAGAGAAAAAGGAAGAAGAGAAGGAAAGAAGGAAGGAGAGAAAGAGGGAAGGTTGGCCACAGCAACACGTGGCGGGTACAGCTAGTCTATATAAATAAAACTGTAATGTTCATTTGTGGGATTGACATAACTCAAGAACCACTGGACGAATTGACACCAAATTTGGACACAAGACACCTCTCAGGGCAAGGAGTGACCATCACTCATAAAAACACTGAAAAACACAGCGGAAGAGACTTAAAAAGCCAAAAACCAAAAAATATTACAACACATGCACAAAACCACATATGTACACAAACACACATATATACACATATACACAAATATATACAGAAATATATACACACATATATGCACACACAAAACACATACACAGAAAGGCGGAAGGAAGGAGAGAAGGAAGGAGAGAAAGAGGGAAAGAAGGAGAGAAGGAAATAAAAAAGTGAAAGAGGGAAGGAAGGAGAGAAGGAACGAAAGAGAGAAAGAGGGAGGGAGGGAGGGAAAGAGACAAGGAAGGATGGAACAAAAGCGCTAAGGAAGCGAGAAAAGAAACAGGTAGAGAAGGAAGAAAGAAGAAGGGAAAGAAAAAGAGGGAAGGAAAGAAAGGGGGAGGGAAGGAAGGAAGGAAAGAAAGAAAGAGGGAGGGAAGGTTGGCCTCAGTAACATGTGGCGGGTACAGCTAGTAATCTATATAAATAAACATGTAATGTTTGTTTGTGGGATGAACATAACTCAAAAACCACTGGGCGAATGGACACCAAATTTGGACACAAGACACCTCTCCGGCCAAGGAGTGACCATCACTCATAAAAACACTGAAAAACACAACAGAAGAGGCTTAAAAAGCCAGAAAAACAAAAAAAATACATTACAATGCCTGCGCAAAACCATATATATATATACACACACACACACATATACATATACATATACATAAATATATATACACACACAAAACACATGTACACAGACTGGGCCACAGCAACGCGTGGCAGGGGACGGCTAGTAATAATAATATAATAATAATACAACTGGAAAAGCTGACACGATGTGGTTTTTAAATTCAAATAGGTTTTAATATTTTTTCCACTGGGAATTTTTAAAGACTGTTTATCTGTTGGGATGTTTGCATATTTGTATGTTTTCAATTGTATGCTGATGCTTTTATGTTGAGCCGCTTTGAGCCTCCCGCAGGAGAGATAAAGTGAGGTAGTAATAATAATAATAATAATAATACAACTGGATAAGCTGACACAATGCGAGGATGTAAAGATTGAACTGCAAAGACCAGTCAAGGTGGTCCCAGTGGTGATGGGCACACTGGGTGCAGTGCCTCAAGTCCTTGGCCTGCACCTAAACACAATCAGCGCTGACAAAATTAGCACAAAAGGCCACCCTACTGGGACCTGCATGCATTATTTGCTGATACTGCAAAGCTCTGGATTCTAGAAAGGTCAGGCATAGGAGTGCTTTCTCCGTGTGGTGCCCGTTTGCCTGCCCATCCTTGTATTGACGTCTCCCTTTCTTTCTTTCTTTCTTCCTCCCTGGCTGCTCCTCCAGCCCTGAGCTGCAACGAGAACGACGGGGACCACCTGGACCGCGACCAGCAATACCCCAGCAACCAGAAAACAAAGCGCATGCGGACCTCCTTCAAACACCACCAGTTGCGGACAATGAAGTCTTATTTTGCTATTAACCACAACCCGGACGCCAAGGACTTGAAACAGCTGGCTCAGAAAACGGGCTTGACCAAGAGAGTGCTCCAGGTAAGGACAGCCCACCTGTCGAAGGAGGACGCCTCTTGTGCCAGGCAGAAAAGCCTCCTCAGGTGCCCCTTCTTCCACGGAGATGCCACAGAGGGTTCGAAGCCTTTCCCCCGTCCTTTTCCCTCTTCGGTGGAAAGCAAATCTCCATGGTCTCTATTTAGAAATGCTGGTCCCCACAGGAACATGGCTCTTGTAGTTGTGGAGCACTAAAGGAAAGGCAGAACCCTTGTTCCCACACACAACTCACGTTGTGACCTGAAAGTACTTATTAGGGGGGAAGAGAGGGGAATAGAAAGTTCTATTTTCAAAATCCACGTTGCCTATCTATACGTAGATATGAAAAGTCAAAATATGTGTGTGTGTGTATTTGTCCATTTGTACCACAAAGGCTATTGCTAGGTGAAGTGGGTCTCTGTGATGTCACTGGACTGGCTGTTGCTAGGTGAAGTGGCCCTCTGTAATGTCATTGGATTGGCTGCTGCTAGGTGAATGATTGGCTATTGCTAGGTGAAGTGGCCCTCTGTGATGTCACAGGATTGGGTGTTGCTAGGTGCAGTGGCCTTCTGTGATGTCAATGGGTTGGCTGTTGCTAGGTGAGGTATCACTGTGATGTCACTGGACTGGCTATTGCTAGGTGGAGTGGCCCTCTGAAATGTCATTGGATTGGCCGCTGCTAGTTGAAGGATTGACTATTGCCAGGTGAAGTGGCCCTCTGTGATGTCATTAGATTGGGTGTTGCTAGGTGCAGTGGCCCTCTGTGATGTCATTAGATTGGGTGTTGCTAGGTGCAGTGGCCTTCTGTGATGTCAATGGGTTGGCTGTTGCTAGGTGAGGTATCACTGTGATGTCACTGGACTGGCTATTGCTAGGTGGAGTGGCCCTCTGAAATGTCATTGGATTGGGTGTTGCTAGGTGAATGAGTGGCTATTGCTAGGTGAAGTGGCCCTCTTTGATGTCACTAGATTGGGTGTTGCTAGGTGCAGTGGCCTTCTGTAGTGTCAATGGGTTGGCTGTTGCTAGGTGAGGTATCACTGTGATGTCACTGGACTGGCTATTGCTAGGTGGAGTGGCCCTCTGAAATGTCATTGGATTGGCCGCTGCTAGTTGAAGGATTGACTATTGCCAGGTGAAGTGGCCCTCTGTGATGTCACTAGATTGGGTGTTGCTAGGTGAATGAGTGGCTATTGCTAGGTGAAGTGGCCCTCTGTGATGTCACTAGATTGGGTGTTGCTAGGTGCAGTGGCCTTCTGTGATGTCAATGGGTTGGCTGTTGCTAGGTGAGGTATCCCTCTGTGATGTCACTAGATTGGCTGCTGCTAGGTGAAGGATTGGCTATTGCTAGGTGAAGTGGCCCTCTGTGATGTCACTAGATTGGGTGTTGCTAGGTGCAGTGGCCTTCTGTGATGTTAATGGCTTGGCTGTTGCTAGGTGAGGTAGCCCTGTGATGTCACAGGATTGGCTGTTGCTAGGTGAGGTATCACCGTGATGTCACTGGACTGGCTATTGCTAGGTGGAGTGGCTACTGCTAGGTGAAGTGGCCCTCTGAAATGTCATTGGATTGGCTGTTGCTAGGTGAATGAGTGGCTATTGCTAGGTGAAGTGGCCCTCTGTGATGTCACTAGATTGGCTGTTGCTAGGTGAAGGGTTTGCTATTGCTAGGTGAAGTGGCCCTCTGTGATGTCACTAGATTGGGTGTTGCTAGGTGAATGAGTGGCTATTGCTAGGTGAAGTGGCCCTCTGTGATGTCACTAGATTGGGTGTTGCTAGGTGAATGAGTGGCTATTGCTAGGTGAAGTGGCCCTCTGTGATGTCACTAGATTGGGTGTTGCTAGGTGCAGTGGCCTTCTGTGATGTCAATGGCTTGGCTGTTGCTAGGTGAGGTAGCCCTGTGATGTCACAGGATTGGCTGTTGCTAGGTGAGGTATCACCGTGATGTCACTGGACTGGCTATTGCTAGGTGGAGTGGCTACTGCTAGGTGAAGTGGCCCTCTGAAATGTCATTGGATTGGCTGTTGCTAGGTGAATGAGTGGCTATTGCTAGGTGAAGTGGCCCTCTGTGATGTCACTAGATTGGCTGTTGCTAGGTGAAGGGTTTGCTATTGCTAGGTGAAGTGGCCCTCTGTGATGTCCCTGGAATGGCTGTTTCTAGGTGAGGTATCCCTCTGTGATGTCACAGGATTAGCTGTTGCTAGGGGAAGTGGCCCTCTGTGATGTCACTAGATTGGCTGCTGCTAGTTTAAGGATTGGTTGCGGCTAGGTGAGTGGCCCTCTGTGATGTCACTGGGTTGGCCATTGCTAGGTGAAGTATTGACTATTGCTAGGTGAAGTGGCCCTCTATGGTGTCACTAGATTGGCTATTGCTGGGTGAAGGATTGGCTATTGCTAGGTGAAGTGGCCCTCTGTGATGTCCCTCGAATGGATGTTGCTAGGTGAAGTGGCTCTCTGTGATGTTGCTGGGATAGAAAGGTGACATTTTTATCATGAGCTGCCTTGAGTCCCTATATTGGGAGAATAGCGGGATAAGAATAAAGTAAATGTATACATGTAAAAGTATGTATGTATGTTTGACTGTTTACGCCACAAAGGCTGTTGCTAGGTGAAGTGGCCCTCTGTCAAGTCACTGGGAAAGAAAGATGATCTGTGCATGTGGGGAAAGGAGGAAAGAAGGGCTGGAGAAGGGAGAAAGTAGGCAGGCAGTGGTCCCAATGACATCTGGGCAACCCGGAGCATGTGCCCGTTTGTGTTCCTTTTCAAGGTCTTCAAAACAGTGGGCCACACAACTGTGATGTGGCTTTCATAGCGAGCCATGTTGGCCACATCTTGCAGGGAATCCCTCCTGGTTGAATTACCTAAGAGGCGCTGGTTGAGCCTCCGGTTTGCTCGTAGCACGCACTGCCTTCCCATGTCACGAAATGCATTTCTCGCTCTTGCAAAGCCTGATTCCTGTATCTCAAGGGGCTCTCTTGGGGATTTGAGCTGCCAGCTTTGGCTCAGATCCTGTGCCGTTCCAGTTGGCATGATCAAGATGCACGGAACACATTGAAACAAACGGTCCTGCAATGCAAATAAATTATTGAGGTACCTTAGTTCACCAACATCTATACCAGCAGTTCTCAACCTGGGGGTCAGGACCCCTTGGCGGGGCGGTCATGAGGTAGTGTCAGAAGGATCTCCAAAGACCATAAGAAAACACAGTATTTTTTGCGTGGGAAGTTTGGACCAATTCTATCGTTGGTGGGGTTCAGAATGCTCTTTGATTGTAGGTGAAATATAGATCCCAGCAACTACAACTCTCAAATGTCAAGGTCTATTTTCCCCAAACTCCATCAGTGTTGACATTTGGGCATATTGAGTATCCCTGCCAAGTTTGGTCCAGATCCAACATTGTTTGAGTCCACATTGCTCTCTGAATGTAGTTGAACTACAACTCCCAAACTCAAGGTCAATTCCCATTAAACCCTTCCAGTATTTTCTCTTGGTCATGGGAGTTCTGTGCGCCAAGATTGGTTCCGTTCCATCATTGGCAGACTTCAGAATGCTCTTTGATTGTAATAATAATAATAATAATAATAATAATAATAATAATAATAATAACAATAATAATAATTATTATTATAGTGAACTATAAATCCCAGCAACTACAACTCCCAAATGTCAAGGTCTATTTTCCGCAAACTCCACATTTGAGCATATTGAGTATTCATGCCAGGTTTGGTCCAGATCCATCATTGTTTGAGTCCACAGTGCTCTCTGAATGTAGTTGAACTACAACTCCAAAATTCAAGGTCAATGCCCTACAGTATTTTCTGCAGATCATGGGATTTCTGTGTGCCAAGTTTGTTTCAATTCCATCATTGGTGGAATTCGGAATGCTCTTTGATTGTAATAATAATAATAATAATAATAATAATAATAATAATAATAATTGTAAGTGAACTGTAAATCCCAGCAACTACAACTCCCAAATGTCAAGGTCTATTTTCCCCAAACTCCACATTTGAGCATATTGAGTATTCATGCCAAGTTTGGTCCAGATCCATCATTGTTTGAGTCCACAGTGCTTTCTGCATGTAGGTGAACTACTACTCCCAAACTCAAGGTCAATAATAATAATAATAATAATAATAATTGTACGTGAACTATAAATCCCAGCAACTACAACTCCCAAATGTCAAGATTCTATTTCCCCCAAACTCCACCAGTGTTCACATTTGGCCATATTGAGTATCCGTGTCAAGTTTGGTCCAGATCCATCATTGTTTGAGTCCATAGTGCTCTCTGGATTTAGGTGAACTACAACTCCCAAATGTCAAGGTCTATTTTCCCCAAACTCCACATTTGAGAATATTGAGTATTCATGCCAAGTTTGGTCCAGATCCATCATTGTTTGAGTCCACAGTGCTCTTGGGATGTAGGTGAACTACAACTCCCAAACTCAAGGTCAATAATAATAATAATAATAATAATAATAATTGTACATGAACTATAAATCCCAGCAACTACAACTCCCAAATGTCAAGATTCTATTTCCCCCAAACTCCACCAGTGTTCACATTTGGCCATATTGAGTATCCGTGTCAAGTTTGGTCCAGATCCATCATTGTTTTAGTCCATAGTGCTCTCTGGATTTAGGTGAACTACAACTCCCAAATGTCAAGGTCTGTTTTCCCCCAAACTCCACATTTGAGCATATTGAATATTCATGCCAAGTTTGGTCCAGATCCATCATTGTTTGAGTCCACAGTGCTCTTGGGATGTAGGTGAACTACAACTCCCAAACTCAAGGTCAATAATAATAATAATAATTGTAAGTGAACTATAAATCCCAGCAACTACAAATCCCAAATGTCAAGGTCTATTCTCCCCAAACTCCACATTTGAGCATATTGAGTATTCATGCCAAGTTTGGTCCAGATCCAACATTGTTTGAGTCCACAGTGTTCTTGGGATATAGGTAAACTACAACTCCCAAACTGCTAAAACTTGAATAAAATTGGAGA